AAATGCATTCGAGTACTTTATTGGCACCAATTCCAATTAAGAATGCCAATCATTTTCTCAAAATAAACAATAGAATTATTTCAAGAATTCATTGTATGTTATTTCTTATCTTAATATGAATAAATAAGTTAATGTAGAATTAAGATCATTTTAAGTGTTCATCATATTTTGTTTTTGTTTTGTAATTTTGCTATATTAACTTTTTTTTAATGGTGTTTTCAGGTTATCAATGTAACATTAAAATTATTTTGGTGCTTCTCCCCCCCCCCCCCCAGTCTCTTGGTAGAGAGTTTTCATTTTTCTATGTTCTATTTTGTAATGAAAGCCTTGCAAACCTTTTGGAAATATACATTCAACTAGTTTAAACTATTCTAAACTAGTCATGAGTTTTACAAAACAAATTAATTATATCTTTCTATCATTAATTGTGGATTAGTTTTAAGTTGTTATGAATATAATAGTTTAATGCAAAGTCCTTTGTTTTTGCAATTTTTAGTATGGTTCTACATTGTTATTGGCATAGATGTAAAATGGCTTGGTTGCTATAAAATTGTAAAAAAATGGCATTCCCGATTACTTTGATAGGTGAGATTTGCTCTCACAAGTCTAAAGTCCATATAAATAAAAGTAGAAACACCTAATACATTTAATTGCAACCAAAATGAAATTATGTTTAAACTTTAAATACATTTGTGAGTTTGAGCATTATAACACAGTGAATGCTTTCTTATAATGAGCACAAAACCAAAATTAAACTATTTAGATTTTTAACACAGTGAAGGTTTTCTATGAATTGATTTGTGTGACAAATATAGTCCATCCACTTCTTTCAATACTACCTTGGCAATTGTCTTTATCACAAGGGTTACACCATGAAAAAAAAAATCTACATGGTGGTAAACTTGAACCTGTCCATTGAAAATCAAATAACAAATTAAACAATAACTAATGGTATAAACACAATAAAATCTTGCAAGAAGCTAGTGGTAGTGTTATTATATTAAAACCTTTTGGGTTTGAAAATAATAGAGTTGCAAATGATAAAATAAGAGAGGAAGTTCACTATGTAGTATTTTACCAACGAGGCAAGTGGGATGTGAACAAAGATAGTAGAAATATTATGAGGTCTTAGTTTGATAGAGAATATGTTAATTGAAAGTTGAAAGAGGATTCTTGTTAGAATTTATATAGCTCAGGATTTTGATTGACTAAAAATCTTGTATTTAATTCAATGGTCTTGAATTCCAATTAATATGACTACCAAATAGAATTAAAAAGATCTAGCCAAAATTTCTACCAAAATTTTCTACCGAACCTAAAATTTTTCTACCAAATTTTCTAGTTCTCAATCAAGGCCTTGAATTTAAAAAGGTCTAGCCAACTACATCCGATATTTTAAAATTTAAAACATATATCCTCTGTTTCAATGTAAAATGGATGGAAAAACCTTTTTCAGTCAGACCAAAATATTTTATTTATATTTTTCATCCATTTCACATTAAAAACCTTGTTTTTCTACTATGCTTGCATGATAGCAATTCAGTAGAGAAAATAATTTTCCATATTAAAAAGGGCAAGGATAACAACTGAAATATTTTTAAAAAGGGCAAGCATTTTTCATATTAACAACAAAATGATTTTATAATTTACTTTGAGAAAAAAAAAACTTTATCTCCTTTAAATGAGGCAAAACATGATAAGAGGGGTTAGCGTGATGTGAATAACACGTATTAAGTGAGGCTTAACAAGAACTTCATAATTAATATATTATTTTTGCTTCCTATTTTTTTTAATTAATAAATTATTAAAAATTCTAGATATAAAATTTTTATCTAGTAAATATAATTAAGGCAAAATCTATGGTACATCCCACCATGTAGCAAAAGATGTGGTTAGCTAAACGAGACTGGATTTAGTCCTCACAAAATTGGTCATCATTTTGTTTTTACAATACATTCATTCGTCCACTGTATTTGTATGTTTTCATTCATGGGAAGATGTTTCCAAAGGTTGCAAGTGTTGTGAGATCAGTGTGAGAACTAATTTTGTAAGTAGAAATTTGGATTATGGTTAAATACGATGGTAAATATACCTTATTAAATATTATACATTATAAAATATGAAACAATAAAAATATAAGTAGTAAACTCTAACATAATTTGGTTGAGATTTGGATTTAACATGGAATTCATATAAGTGAATAGTGGTGTTGTGTTTTTTTTTGGGTCATTTACTAGAACACCCCATAGTTTTGCGGATTTACTTAAAGGGCAAATTTCTTAAACTACCCTTACTATTTAGCTAATTGACTAAGTATATCCTTACTATTTGACTATCGTCTAAGGCTACCCCTGTTGTTTAAAAAAATGATCATTATCATTAAATATCAACAGAAGGGTTAAAATGCCAGTTTACCCTTTCGTTAAATCCCTTTGAAGGTAATTCTCTCTCTCTCTCACTCACACACACACACACACACACACATCACTGTCAGTCTGTCATTGCTGCAACGAAAATGGGTGCAACATTTTGAGCAGATTGGTGATGAGGGTCAAGGGACATCAGGGACATCCGACAATGGGTAGGTGGTCACCAATCAAAGCAGATGTGGTGGCTGTAGAGCAGACCAAGGGACATCCAATGACGACGACTACAAAGTAGAGCAAACAGAGAAAGAAAGCCTTAAAAAATCAAGCTTTGACTTCTTTAGGTTATCTTGCTTACCTAAAGAGGGCATGACCCTAACTGGGAACACTCCACTTGGTTCTTTGACTATGAGGAAGAGCGAAAAAGCTTGATGTGTTGCAGTTCTACAAGGTTAAGGACCATGGTAAGATTCAAAAGCTGCAACTCTCATCTATATCGACGAGAATAGGGGAGTTACAATGGCAAAAGAAAAAGAATTGAGAGGTAATGGGATCGTTGAGAAAGAAATAGCAAAAGCTGCAACTCTCTTCGTTATGAAATTCAAATATAACAAAGAAAAAGAAATAAATAGTGATGGAATCGTTGAGAGGTTTCTGACGATGTTGGATAATAATTGAGAGGTAATGGGTGCCGGAGACCCCTCGAAAGAAGAAACTATTGCTGATGAGCCATCAATTTGGCTGCCCGAGAATTCCCGCTTATTTGGTGCTAAAGGAGACAGTTGAAGGAAGATAGAGAGAGGTGGATGAGGGTAACATTGGGTTTTAAAAAAATAAATGTCACATGATGTCACATGTGTATGGGTTTTGACGAAATATTAACGAATGCTAGCAGTAAGGGTAGAGCTAATCAATTGTCATAAACAATAGGGGTAGCATTAGACAATAGTCAAACAATAAGGGTATACTTAGTCAATTAGCTAAACCATAAGGGTAGTTTAAGAAAGTTGCCTTTACTTAAATCCATCCTATAGTTTTTATTTTATTAAAACATTGTCTTAGAAATAGTAACACGATCACCTAAACTGAGTGGAAAATGTTAAGGGCTATAAGGCATGGACCCATGATTGTTTATTCCAAAGTTACCCCTTTGTACATATAAAATTGACCAAAATAGAGTGGTTGCACAGTGTTTTAAAAACCGATCTGAAGGCCGAACCATTTTTGCCTATGGGTTGGGTCATCGATTTGACCGGCTGGGTCAAATGATTCAGATCGTGCCACATCAACGTGTGTGTATGTGTGTGTATATATGTACAAATACATATTTTATTAATAAATAATGTATATTATGTTTTAGATATTATATGTTTATTTTATGTTTTTAGTTCAGTATTTATTTATAAAAATATTAAAAATTATAATTTGAGGCCAAAAGTTTTTTTTTTCTTTTCCGTGCAAATAACGGGACGACACTTTGGGATGCATAGATCTCAAAAAATTACCTAAAATAAAAAAATCATCTCAATCGGACATCAGAGTGTAAAATTATGGGCTCCCAAAATTTGCATATATAATATGCAACATGCAACCTTATCACCCTATCGATCGAATTAATGGTCCAACAGTTTTACTTGAACAGTTTTTGGCATTTCTTCAAGTTTTACTCGAACCCAAAATCTTGATCAAGTGACGATCCGAATGATTCTAACAGGCCAAATCAATTGAAAAAAACTGGATTGCACGTACCTTATTAGAGGCAAAAATATTATTTTCATTTTTTTATTTTAATTAAATTTATTCAAATGGATAATAGAGACAAAACTGTTATTTTTTCACTGTTATCCAATGAAAGGATCGATTAAATAAATCGATTGCAAAGTGCTTTAGTAAAACACAAACTATAGAATTGGTTTAAATAAATCGATGAAACTGTGTTTTGATAAATTACCCTTTTTTTAACTCTAATGAAAAGACAGAAACATCCTTTACAAACATGTAAAGTTAACGGAGAGTATATCTCCAATCCCATCCGGAATTCCGGACCTTCTATTTATGAATCCACGATGGACACGTGAGGAACTCAGAGAAGCACATGAATGCTGGATTGGGATGAAAGCGACGTATCGTGGAAGGTGTTGAATGAGCTTATGAGCAAATGGCATGTTTTTTTGGTGGAGCCCATTAAATGCATCGGACCATTTTTATACATACCGAACTACCGATCCGATGGCTATCAGATGCACTCAGAAGTATGGACCATATGGTATGTTGCAGTGAATAAATTTCACCCTTAATCCGGGATTAATGGTTGAGGTTGAAACTAATGAAAGTTCTTTCGTGACCTATACAGTGTAGAATTAGCCACGTGTCATCCCGAGCTCTAACAACTAATGAATTAATTCTTAGAAGTCAAAAGTCAAAACCCGAAATCCAACAAATCCACATGTCTCCCCGTTGTTACAACAACTTACAAGCTAGGCCAGCTTAGGTCCATCGTCTACAGGACCACATCCTCTTAGCTGTAAAGGCTAGTGGCAGCATTGTAAATAAACAGAAAAAATGAGGTAAACTCGAACAAAGTGCTGGAAACTATATATTGCAGAAACGTTGCCGTGTCTATCGTCATTTCGTCAACCTTGCTGTTTCCCTCCATCGTTCAACCGTGTCCTGTTTGAAGGTGGGCTGGGCTTTTTCTACTTTATCTTCTTCTTCTTCTTCTTCTCGCTTGATTCCTGTGTGCTTTTCTTTTAATGGTTTCTTCTGTGTTTTACCTGCAACAGATTCCCTCTTTTCTGTTATATATTGTTTATCTTCCTGCTCCATAAAGAGATTCCTTACTAGTCTATCTTTCGTCGGCGAATTTTTGACGTAATTTGGTTGATGATGGACTGGTGGTGTTTATAAATCTCTGCTGAAGCTTCTTAGATAAAGGTATGGTGATTTTCTCTGTGTTCTTTTTCTTTTCGGTTCAGTTCTCCACTTTTTTATTATTTACTTTAATTTCTATATATCTCGGCCAGTTTCTTTTAATATTGTTCGTTTCTTTTATTTCTCAAGTGTCCTTGCTAGATCATATTTTCTAATTTATATATGAGCTGTTTTAAATGGTTTGTTTCTTTTTGGTTCTGAGAGGAAATTGATTAGTAACAAATCAACTACTCTGGAACTTCCCTCTTTTATTCCCAAATTGATTATTTTACTATCTTTCTTTATTTGGGTCATGTTTAATGCACTTTGATTTATTTTCTATGCGTTTATTTGTCAACTGCTTTCTACCTGTTCAGTTTTGGTAATCGAATTGATGATAATCTTTATGCTGTATTGAGAATTTGTAGTTTTTCATTATCTATTTAATGTCAGCTTTCCATGCAGTTTAGTCCGTTGTATAATGGCCATTTTTTAGATGAACTTTGTTCCAAGTTATGGTGGAAAATTCTTGAACATTTGATTTGTCCTATTCTCTTCTACACCTGAAAGTAAGCTCTATGTTGCTGCATGCTGCAGTTTCAGGTTCTTGCTTATATTTCTGGATTTGGGAAGTTATCGGTGGGGAGCTTCTGGGATTAAGTAGTTCACGACTCACAATTTTTGGCTGCGGCTCCTTAAAGAGCCAAGACTTGCTATATCCTTGTGCAGTTGTGCTTCATAATTACTATGATTTAGTTTGGTTTCTGAGATTGGAGCGCTCCAGTAGAAGAATTGGGTTTTATTTTTGGATGGTTAAATGAAAATCTATTATGGGTGATCCCCGTTGCTTTGATGAAAGAACTCAGACGCTGGTGCAGAGGATACAGAATCCAATGGAGAAAACTGTTTTTTGTTGTAGCGTTCATTACAACGGCTGGAGCTGTGCTTCAAACCTGTACTCTTCCTTATCCGTTGACCATGTGGTTTTTCTTTCCCCCAGTAACAGTTTCATCATACAAAGCCTCAGTTGCTATGATGCAGGTTAATGATACTTCTCCTCTGGCGAGGCCTGAAAAATTCTCACTGGTTCCATTTTCCCCTGCCGTTTCTCTTAATTCTACCGTTGGTTTAATTCAAATACCACCAGTTGTAGAAGATGACAAGAAAATACCACCCAGAGGAAATTATGAAAGGATAAGGACGAATATCAGGAAAGAGACATCTGATGAACCTAAGGTAGTACATTCTCCACCTAGGACTGTGCCCTCTGAACGGCAGGTGTGATCTATTATATCTAGTTTGTTACTCTTCCTTGAAGTCAGATCCAGTGGATTTTGTTAATTTCTTTTGTTTCTATTGTGTGGTATTTGATGTAGAGATATTTATGGTCTTCGCCACCTGATGAGGCACTTCTGTATGCCAAGAAGGAGATTGAACATGCCCCAGTTGTTGCTGATGATCCTGACCTCTATGCTCCTTTGTTTCGAAATGTTTCCATCTTTAAAAGGTATTTTTTTCATGATGACACTTTTTTTTTTGTCCTATAAAATACCGTGATTGTACTTTTCCATGACCTCAATTGTTTTTGTGATTGAATGTAATGTAGTGAAATCTTTATGATTCCACTTTCTTTTGGTCTCAGTAGTTTCTAGGATCAGGTGCAATGTAGTGAAACAACCATTATCTTGTAAACCCATTAGTCCTCAAAAAACAGAACAAGCAAATATATATCTCTTTAATTATCTTTTTTGTGTCTGTGTGGGGTTGGGAAGCTTGGTATGATCAGAGCAAAATTTTTAATTGTGGCATGCATTAACCATGGACCAGTGTTTTAAAACGCAGAGGCGTGATGCAAGGTGCTCCACTACCTAGAGGCGTGAGGCATAGTTCAGAACGTAAGAGGCGCAAGCCCCCCAAACACAAAGAGGCGTAAGCCTACTTAAGAGGAGGGGGGGATGGGGAGGAAGAAGGAGGAGGGAGAAGAGGAAGGAGGATCTCATTTTTCTTTATTTTTATAAAAATCTTTTATATTAAGAAGAATGAAGATGCATATCACTAGTTAAAAGTGTATGAGGCGTACGCCTCAGAGGTGTCAGCGCCTCTGGCATACACCTTAGGGTGTTTTGGGGGTGCCTCCAGGCGTATGCCTCCCATGCCTTTTAAAACACTGTTATGGAGTTAGTAAGTAATCAGGCTCCAAGATAAGAACTTTTGATATAATGTAGACTATAAAAGTGGAAAAAGTTGGTTGCTACCCTCAACTTTTGTCTTATGAAACAAGTCCTAGAGTAAATTGATGAGGCGATGTGTTCTGCACCTTTAGTGTGAATGCATAAAAATAGGTCTCAGTTAATATCAGTAGGTAAGAGGTGCGAAACATGATGATTTATGTTATCCCTGTTCAACTATTCATAAGAGGGGGGATTGAGACAATGCTTTCTATGTAAGCATTATTGAAGCCTGGATGTAGTTTTGGAGTGCTATAGACCAACAAAAATTGGATCACATTAAAGGGAGAATGTACAAGGAGTGATTTGTTTGAATTAAAGGGTCTAGAAGAGCTAGGGGCAGGCCGATGAAGGACATAGGTGGAAGTAGTGAGAAATGATTTGAGGGCTGATGGTTAACTATGGAGACGTCTTTGAACAGAGTAGAATGGTGAAAGCAGTACATATAGCCATTCTATATAGTTGTCATGATGCTTTATTGGGCTAAGTTGAGGGAGAATGTTTTGAGATAGATATAATCTTAGTATGCTTTATGGGGCAGTATGTTGGATGATCATAACCAATAATGAGGAGTGGACTGGTTCAAATAGAAGGAGATCAAGGGGGAAGACCAAAGAAAACATAGCATGAAATAGTAAAAAATGATTTAAGGACTTATGATTTGACAGAAAACATGGTTATTGAGAGGAGAGAACGATGGCAGGATAGGATTTGGGTAATTGACCCCAAATTGTACATTGGGTGCATAGCCCTTATTTCTATTTTTCTTTACGTAAATTTTGGATGTATGATAATTATCAAAAATTGCAGATTAGTACCCTGTACTTTGGGCCTAGTTTCACTTTGGTACCCAAATTTCAAAACGTGCCAATCCAATACCTGAACTCCCAAAATGTCCCAATTTAGTCCCTGTTGTTAGCAATCCGTCAGTTATCTGTATCACGTGATGACATGTGTGACTTAAAACTTTTGAAAATGTCAAAATTACCCTTTGACATAAGACACTATTCATCATATTCTTCCTCAAGAATCAAGATTGAACCAAAGCAATGATGAACAACCCAAAGGACATTTGGATGGTTGATAAAGAAAATTTACATTTTCATCTGTTCACATGCCACTTAATGGCGGTTAACAATTTTGGACTAAACTGGGACATTTTGGGAATTCAGGTACCAAAGTGAGACTAGGCCCAAAGTACAGGGTGCTAATCTGCAATTTACCAAAAAAAAAGGATATATGACATATTTTTTTTTTGGGCACACAAGAACAGAAGCGATTGGAAAATAAATCGTCTTTGTCTCGGGTTCACAGGTATATTGAGGATTTCTAGCGATGCTTTTCTTTGTTATCAAGCATTTGTGATGAACCTGATTTGTACTTGTTCATCCTGTCAGACTTACCAAGGGTTTCCAATTGTTCTGAGTAGTGTCTGACATTTAAATGCCATCAAACTTCATGACATTCAACCAAGTTATACCTTGGATTCACACCTGGACCCCTTCATGCACGGTACCCATCTTGTTATGGACGCATTCCTCGGGAAGACATACCATCGCCGCCGGAAGCAGCAGAAACCTGACCCACCGCCAGCAGCAGTAATGATTCAGTGATTCTCAGTCTACCCAGTTCGGCAGTAGCAGTCTCATCCATATTAGATTAACTTATCTTGCTTGTTCTTATCTTTTTGTTCTTATCTTATTTTATTGCTCTTATCTTATCTTGTTAGTAAGTTATCAGATTAGGATTAGCTTATCTTATCCTTAGCAAGATAGAACTGGAAGTCTCCCTATTCAACAAGGAGACTTCCTCAGATTAGGACTCTTGTAATCTCCTATTTAAGGAGACCCTTATTGAATGAAATCATCAAATTATTCAGTCAACAAGTGAGTTAGGAGAGTTGGT